TGGCTGGAAAAATAGGGAAACAGCTGCAATGGATTAGGGAATACCTGACAGGAAGGAAACAACGAATGATGGTACGTGATGGTGAGTCAGAGTGGGTGCATGTGTCGAGTGGGGTTCCACAAGGGTCAGTCCTAGGTCTGATGCTGTTTCTTGTATATGTGAATGATATAATGGAAGGAATAGATTCAGAAGTGTCACTGTTCGCTGATGATGTGAAACTGTTGAGGAGAATGCAAGCGGGCGAGGATCAGTTAAGATTACAAGGGCATCTGGACAGACTACAAGTCTGATCTGACAAATGGCTCCTGGAGTTGAACCCCAGTTGAAGATTGGGGAAGGACATAGAAGAACACAACGGAGTACAGGATAGAGTATCAAAGGTTGGAAACGTCACTTAAGGAAAAGGGTCTTGGGGTAAGCATTATAACGAACATGTCCCTTGAGGCACATATCAATCAAATAACTGCTGCACCATATGGGCGCTTGACAAACCTGTGATTAGCATTTAGAAACCTGAGTAAGGAGTTATACACGACATTGTACACCGTGTACGTCAGGCCTATACTGGAGTATGAAGCACCAGTATTGAACCCACGTGTAGTCAAACATGTTACGAAAATGGAGAAAGTACAAAAACATGCAACAAGATTAGTCCTGGAACTGCGAGGTATGTCTTACGAGGAGGGTTTGTGGGAATTAATCCTCTTGATACTAGAAGACAGGAGAGATAATGGGAAAATAACATATAGACATATAAAATACTGAGAGGAAATGACAGGGTGGACAGGGCTTGAATATTTCAGAGGTGGGATACAGGAACAAGGGGCAACAATTAGAAGCTGAAACCCAGACGAGTCACAGGGATGTTAGGAAGTATTTCTTTAGCCTTAAAATTGTCAGGAAGTGGAATAATCTGGAGAGAGAAGTAGTGGAAGCAAGTTCCACACATTGCTCTAAGAAGAAGTATGAAGAAGCTCATGGAGCAGGGAGAGAGTGATTTAGCAACGACCAGTAAAGAGGCAGGACTAGAAGCTATGAATCGACCCCTGCAACCCCATATAGGTGAGTACACATGTACACCCACACACACATAGGGGTCCCGACACATGGAGAGCCATGATGATGGATGTTGTACTGGAAAGCCTCGTGCATCATCATGTTAAAGACATTACAAGAGAGAGAGATCTGAGGATGATCCAGCACGACTGGACCTAGCATTCACCTTGAGTAGTTCGGATATCGAGAACATGTACAAAAGGCCTCTTGAAGCTAGCAGTCATGTGGGTCTGTGCTTTGATGACATAGTTGAGCTACAAGTGAAGAGGGTATCAGGAATAGGATGGGAAAATCCAAACTACAAAAGGGGGAACTACACAGGCATGAGGAACTTCCTGCAAGGCATTCAGTGGGAAAGATAACTGGCAGGAAAACCAGTATAAGAAATAATGGACTATATGACAGCAAATTACAAGGAGGCAGAGGAGAGGTTTGTTCCCAAGGGAAACAGACATAATAGGAAGACCAGAACGACTCCATGGTTCACCAAAAAGTGTAGGGAGGCAAAAACTAAGTGCACCATAGAATGGAAAAATTTCGGAAGACAAAGGCTCCAGGAAAGTGAAGAGATTAGCTGAGGAGCAAGAAAAAAAATGTGCAGAAATAAGAAGGGAGGTTCAGCAAAAATAATTAAAATGAATTAACATCGAAAGCTAAGTCTGACCGAAGCTGTTGTATAGCCACATCAGGAGAACAACAGTCAAGGACCAGATAATCAGGCTGAGGAAGGATGGTGGGGAGTTCACAAGAAATGACCAAGAGGTATGTGAGGAGCTCAAAATGCGATTTAAACGAGTATTTACAGCGGAGACAGGAAGGACTCCAGGAAGTCAGAATTGGGAAGTACACAAATAAGGATACACCAAAAAATACTGGATGAAATACACACAACCGAGGCGAAGGTGAAGAAGCTGCTATGGGAACTTGATACCTCTAAGGCGGTGGGACCAGACAACATCTCTCTGTTGGTCCTTAGAGAAGGAGCAAAGATGCTGTGTGCCACTAACAAAAACCTTCAACGCATTCATTCAAACTGGGCAACTACCTGACATATGGAAGATGACAAATGTAGTCCCAATTTTTAAGAAAGGAGAGAGACACGAGGCATTAAACTACAGACCTGTGTCACTGATGTGTATAGTATGCAAAGTCATGGAGAAGATTATCAGGAGGAGAGTGGTGGAGCACCAAGAACGGAACAAGCTTATAAACGACAACCCTCACAGATTCATGGAAAGCAAATCCTGTGTCACAAACCTACTGGAGTTTTATGACAAGGTAACGGAAGTAAGGCACGAGAGATAGGGGTGGGTTGATTGCATTTTCTTGGTCTACAAGAAGGCCATAGACACAGTACCTCAAAAGAGATTAGTGCAAGCGCTAGAGGATCAAACATGTATAACAGGAAGGGCACTGCAATAGATCAGAAAATACCTGACAAGGAGGCAACAACCAGACATGTACGTGATGAGGTATCACAGTGGGGGCCTGACACAAACTGGCTTCTACAGGGGTCAGTCCTAGGGCCAGTGCTATTTTTGGTATATGTGAATGACATGATGGAAGGGATAGGCTCAGAAGTATCCCTGTTAGCAGATGATGTGAAGTTAATGAGGAGAATTAAATCAGATGAGAATCAGTCAGGAGAACATAGAGACCTGGACAGGCTGGACGCTTGGTACAGCAACTGGCTCCTGAAATTTAACTCCGCCAAATGAAAAGTCATGAAGATCGAGGAAGAGCAAAGATGACTGCAGACAGAGTATAGGCTAGGTGGCCAAAGATTGCACACCTCACTCAAGGAAAAAGATCTTGGGGTGAGCATAATATCGAACACGTCTCTTGAAGTGCACATCAACCAGATAACTGATGCACCAAATGGGCACCTGGCAAATCTGAGAATTGCATTCCAGTACCTAAGTAAGGAATCGTTCAAGACTCTCTACACCGTGTACGTCAGGCCCATACTGGAGTATGCAGAACCAGTTTTGAACCCACACCTGAAAGTACATGTTTGCAAAAATGCTAGTTCCAGTGCTATGGGGAATGTCCTATAAACAAACAATAAGGGAAATTGGATTGACTACACTGGAGGACAAAAGGGTCACTGGAGACATGATAACGACATACAAAATAATGCGAGGAATTGACAAAGTGGAAAGAGACAGGATATTCCAGAGATGCGACACAGAAACAAGTGGTCACAATTGGAAGCTGAAGACTCAGATGATCAAAGAGATGTCAAAAATTTCTCTTTAGTCATAGAGTTGTCAGGAAGTGGAATGGTTTGGCAAGTGATGTAGTGGAGGCAGGAACCATGCATAGTTTTATCATGAGATATGATAATGCTCATGGAGCAGGGAGAGAGGAAACCTAGTAGTGATCAGTGTAGAGGTGGGGCCAGGAGGTTTGACTCAATCCCTGCAACCACAAACAAATAGGTGAGTACCAATAGGTGAGTACGCACACACACACACACACACACACACACACACACACACACACACACACACACACACACACACACGGGGCAGGAGCTGTGAATCGACCCCTGCAACCGCAACTGGTGAGTACAATTAGGTGAGTACACTTAAACACACTCAAAAAAACACCCACACACACAGATACATGTATATGACTCGACCCCTGCAACCACAACTATGTGAGTACACACACGCACGCAGGTGAGTACAGCACTACAAAAAAAGACCTCGACATGCTCAAAGCCTGGTGCAGTAACTGGGTCGTTGAATTTAATCCCCCAGATGCCAAGATATGACGATCGAGAATGGGCATAGAAGACCACAGACAGAATAGAGACTCGGTGGCCAAAGACTGCAAACATCACTCAAGGAAAAGGACAGGGGTGAGCATAACACAGGGAACATCTCCTGAGGCGCACATCAACTAAATAACTGCTGCAGCATATGGGCGCCTAGCAAACTTAAGAATAGGATTCTGACATCTCAATAAGGATTCGTTCAGGACTCTGTGTACCTTGTAAATGGGACCTATATTGGAGTCTGCAGCACCAATTTGGAACCCACACATTGTGAAGCATGTAAAGAAATTAGAAAAAGTGAAAAGATTTGCAACAAGACTAGTCCTGGAGGTAAGGGGCATGTTCAATTAGGAGAGGTTAAGGGAAATCAACCTGACGACACTGGAGGACAGGAGAGAAAGGGGGAATATGATAACGACATATAAAATACTGAGAGAAATCGACACGGTGGACAGAGACAGGATGTTCCAGAGATGGGACACAGCAGCAACGGGTCACAATTGAAAGTTGAAGACTCACATGAATCACAGTGATGTTAGGAAGTATTTCTTCAGTCACAGAGATGTTTTTGAAGTGCAATAGTCTGGGAATGGATGTAGTGGAGGCAGGATCCATACATAGCTTTAAGAAGAGGTATGGTAAAGCTCATGGAGCAGGGAGAGTAGCCTGGTGGGTAAAGCTCTCGCTTCACACACGGAGGGCCAGGTTTCGATTAACGGCGGGTGGAAACATTTCGACGTGTTTCCTTACACCTGTTGTCCTGTTCACCTACCAGCAAATAGGTACCTGGGTGTTAGTCGACTGCTGTGGGTCGCATCCTGGGGGACAAGATTGAGGACCCCAATGGAAATAAGTTAGACAGTCCTCGATGACGCACTGACTTCTTGGGTTAATCTGGGTGGATAACCCTCCGACCAATGAAGAAGCGGGCCAGGAGCTGTGACTCGACTTCAGCAGTCACAACTAGATGAGTGCACGCACAGACACACAAACACTCACACCCTAGACTAAGTCACTACAGCACAAACATGGACATAACACACAAACACTCACACCCTAGACTAAGTCACTACAGCACAAACATGGACATAACACCATCCATATAAATCAACATAATAATCATTATTAATTTCACTACATAGTTCCGTGATGTGATTGTTACCTTTGTTACTGGGATCACAGAGTGAATTATTTAATAACATTTGAACAATATCAACATTGTTGTTCTCAGCAGCATAGTATAGTGGTGTCCTGCCATCATCATCCTGACAGTTGACGTCAGCACCAGCATCAAGCAGCATCTTAACACAATCATCATAACCCTTCACAACTGCTGTGTGAAGAGCTGTGATACCTGCAACACAACAAACATGTTTATTTGATGACATATAATTCCTAAAATTTATTAATATTAATTGTAGTATTAATACTATAACTACTACTATATCAAATAATATTATTAATAATAATAATAATAATAATAATAATAATAATAATAATAATAATAATAATAATAATAATAATAATAATAATAATAACAATAATAATAATAATGATAATAATAATAATAATAATAATAATAATAAGAAGAAGAAGAAGAAGAAGAATATTAACAATAATAACAAAAATATTATTATTATTATTATTATTATTATTATTATTATTATTATTAATAATATAATTGATTTTATAATTACAATTAGAATGAGATAATAAGTTGGTGGATGGTTTTTAAAGGTATCATCACGATGGATAAATAGGTTGTTCAGACATTTAGAGAGAATGATACGAAATAGAATGAATTGGAGAGCGTATAAGTAGCTGTTTCTTTATATGTTATTTAAAACTATGTACAAAATGCAGATAAAGGTATTAACGTATAACAATATGGTACAATGATACTGGATATGAACAAAGAATCTTCACTGGTACAACTCCAGTCCATTAATTACAGACACTTCACATAATGGCACTAATACTGACCTAACAACACAACGTACATCCAACCTCTAAAAAACCTGTGTCACACATGACAGGTTTACGTAATACTGTTGCTAACATCAGACGCCTCTAACACTCTCCCTCCACACACACACACACACACACACACACACACACACACACACACACACACACACCACACACACACACTGTCACATGCCTAAACATAAATCTGAAAGCATTAAACACTAAACCATAAACGGATCACTCTATAAAAATCATACAATGTACATTCAGAGTTACATGTTATAAGGAAGAACTTAACACTGGTACCACTATAGTCCACTGAGTAAACATACAGTACAGAATTGCGCTAAGACAAACCTAACACAACCTACACTTGACCTCGAAACACAGTTCAACAGAATCAAGAACATAATATACTAGTCGAACACATACATCCTACAGTTCTACTTACCCCCATCCCCCCACCCCTACCAGTTAAACTCATGTCCACTCTCCGTGGTTAATCAACATCAACTTACACCCCCAACACCAACCAGTTAAACCCATGTCCACTCTCACGTGGTTAATCAACATCAACTTACACCCCAACACACCCAACCAGATAAAACCCATGTCCACTCTCACGTGGTTAATCAACATCAACTTACACCCCCAACACCAACCAGTTAAACCCATGTCCACTCTCACGTGGTTAATCAACATCAACTTACACCCCCAACACCAACCAGTTAAACCCATGTCCACTCTCACGTGGTTAATCAACATCAACTACACAAAGAAGTAAAACTACATCCACCCTAAACCTGCAAATAAACCCAGCAAACCAGTGCCTTGGTGCAACACACATAGCCTAGTAACATTAAGTCATACACCCGAGGCCTAGACACAAGGTGGTTTGCCATGTTGACAGACTTCACCCTTAGCTTTGTCAGGAATACCTCTACCTGGAGTCTACCTGCAGGGTATTCCAGGGATCAACGTCCCCGCAGTCCGGTCCACTACCAGGCCTCCCGGTGGATCAGGGCCTGATGAACCAGACTGTTACTACTGGCCGCATGCAGCCCAACATACAAAACAGCCTGGCTGATCCGGCACCGCTCCCTCTTAAAAGGCAGCCTTGTCTGTTGGTAATTACCCTTATGCCTGGTGGGAGGCTGTTGAACAATCTTAGGCCCCTGACACTTTTCAGAGTGTATATTATGTTATATCTCTCTCGCCTGCGTTCCAGTGAGGACATGTCAAGTGCTTCCAAGTGTTCCCAGTACTTAAGGTGTTTTACGTAACTTATATGTGCAGTAAAGATTCTCTGTGCACTCTCTAGATCTGCAGTTTCACCTGCTTTGAACGGAGATGTTAATATAAAGCAGCATTCCAGCCTAGAGAGAACATTACAATTTACCACAAGCCCCGATTTCGTGGGTCATTTAACACTGTGGTATTTGTTCCTCATGGCCCCAGAACCACTTGCGATTTCTACCCATGACTTTGTACCAGGGCGTTGTGCCCCTGTTATAACATCATCTGTATCAGGTGCTGTTGCTGCGCGTTTCTGGGCGCGAGTGTCCCCCACCACACGCACTTCAATCGATGCATCCCGATGTACATCCACATCTGTCACTACAACACGGAGCCTCACCTCACTCAGCACAGGAGCAAGGGACGGTACCTCTGCTCTCACTGCAGCTCCTTCACAAGAAGGGGTGTTAGGTACCTCCTCAAGTATGGGTGACACCCCTTCCGATTGGGGAGGGGGGAAAACATATCCCTTAACGCTTTTCCCAACTCTTCCCCAACGCTACGTCCTCCTACTCAGGAAGAGCACGAACCCAATCATTCAACACTGTCTTCTCCCGGTCCTCACTGGCGCGATACGCCCAATGGCCTTAATGCTCGTTCCTTCTCCGAAATGTCCATTCTGTGCACAGTGTTGGTTCTTCCAACGAGAACACTCAACAGCCTTTTGATCATACCCCTCGCAAATCCGACACGTGCGCCGTTGCCCAGCATAGGGCACCATCACCTGCGATCGTAAGTCCGGTAGGATTACATATGACGGCACGACGTATGTTAACGACATCTTCAGAGAGTACGTTCTTTCCGGTAACTCCGTGTAAACATCAGTCGCCCACGTACCTCGTCGGGTGACATATATGGTTCATAATTTAGGGAACACCTGACGTAAGTCTCCCTCATCAACCTCAAAGGGCGCATTGCATAGTTTGACCCTTGTGTATTGCTTCGACACGTCATTTAGGTGCACTCTAACATCGTCATTAACCTCCATCAGCATATCTTGGGGTGACAGTAACTTCACAATCTGGCCGGTGGCCCAACTGAGTGCTACACCATAGAGCGACTCGTTGTTTGTCCCCTATGTGGTCTTGATGACGGCTGGTAACAACATATTCAGTGTTATGGCCCCCTTCAGTAGCTCTATGCTCATTGTATTAACACGCTTCCTCAGACTCACTATCATGGTTCACACTGACCAATCACACAAGTGAAAGTGTTGAGGAGCACCAGAGACACGTCCGCCTCTGCTACTGTCAAGGCGACCAAATGTATTAGTAGAAGGAAGGTGGGGCAGAGGTCGTCCCAGGAAAGGTTGGAGGGATTGTCTCAAGTAAGTTTTGTGTGTTATTCATATTCATATTATTTATTATTATTATTATTATTATTATTATTATTATTATTATTATTATTAGTTAGTAGTAGTAGTAGTAGTAGTAAGTAGTAGTAGTAGTAGTAGTAGTAGTAGTAGTAGTAGTAGTAATAGTAGTAGTAATTGTAGTAGTATTTATCATAATTTTTATTTTAGTACTATAATAATAATAATAATAATAATAATAATAATAATAATAATAATAATAATAATTATTATTATTATTATTATTATTATTATTATTATTATTATTATTAACATTAATATGTTCTTAATTATTTCTAAAGCAATAATTTCAATTCTAGTGAAATTATTTTGACTATTATCTGACTCACGAAATCGTAATGACACGATTGCAAGCAAGGTGTATAAATAGAAGACAGGAATAAATAAAGGGGATGTAAATAGTGTGCTGAAAATATCTAGCCTAGACAGGACTCGCAGCAATGGTTTTAAGTTGGAAAAATTCAGATTACTGGTTTGGTAATAGAGTTGTGGATGAGTGGAACAAACTCCCAAGTACAGAGGCCAGAACGTTGTGTAGCTTTAAAAATAGGTTGGATAAATACATGAGTAGATGTGGGTGGGTGTGACTTGGACCTGATAGCTTGTGCTACCAGGACGGTTGCCGTGTTCCTCCCTTAAGTCAATGTGACCTGACCTGACTAGGTTGGGTGCATTGGCTTAAGCCGGTAGGAGATTTGGACCTGCCTCGCATGGGCCAGTAGGCCTGTTGCAGTGTTCCTTCGTTCTTATGTTCTTATGTTCTAAACCGTACCACGGGCGGGATTTTAACCCGCAATCGTGTCATTACGATTTCGTGAGTCATGTTGACGGCTTTGAAGGGACTTGAGCTAGAGTTCGTCACGGCCACGCTAGCTGGAGATTCGTCTGTAAAAACTTGCATTTGTGGTCACAGTGGTGGCCTATGCTAACCTTCCTATGGTGTAGAAATACAACTACTTGGACGAATCTTATTGAAGCTAGCTGGTCTACTGGCTAACGCGACGGTCTGGAGTTCTGAGACTCTCTGACCGCGGGTTCAAATCCCGCCCGTGGTATGGTTTGACTATTATCTCGACTGACAAAAATACCGATAGATTTTCAGTTGATATCAGGAACAGTATTAATTTTTACGTTTAAGTGAAGTAAGTAGCGGTCGGTGTATGACACTGACACAGACTCAGAGGACAGTCAGTGCCAGACAGGCTGGCAGTGTACATGTTACAAAAGTCTTCAGCGACACTTGAATATACTGGCAAATGTGTGAAACTAATTGAGGCATTTAATGATAGATTCAGGGACGTGAAAAGTAAACAAATGGAATTGAACATCATTGGTACACCGTTCAATGTGTAACCAGTTGATGTACCTGATAACATACAACATGAAATCATTCAGCTGCAAAGTGATGAGTTGAAAGCTAACTAGAACAACCTCCCACTGCTTGAGTGCCATAAACGTTACATGAGCAATGATGAATTTACCACTTTGAGGAAACATGCATTGAAATATGCATCTGTGTTTGGAACAACTTACTGCTGTGAGCAGTTCTTTTCAAAACTTAACTTACCATCACAAAGAGTCGACTCTGTTCCAGACTGACCGACGCAAACCTGGAAAAGCAGTTGCGAGTAGCAACATCAACAATACCAATTAACATTACATACCTCACCAATAAGAAACCGTTCCAGCCATCACATTAGGCGTGAGTTAATTAAATG